AGCCTCCCAACAAAATGAGTATTCAGGGGGACTGTTCATGGTCCCTTCTTTGTTTTTCTCTGTGATGGACCCAAGCCTATTTATGAGGGAGAAATATATATATATATATCCCTGCAATTAAATTATTATCACAAAAATACTTAAAAACTAAAATGGATCTTTAACAGCCCGTAATCAACATATGAATAATAACTCACATTTAGATAGTGCTTTAAGGTTTATTCTGTGCTTTCCTCACAATAGACCTAAAACATAATGGAGAGGAAGGGAACAATTAGGACCTGCTTCCTAAGACTTCTTAATGGAAACCCCCTACCTATGATGTAACGGAGTATACAAAACTGATTTGTCTTCTTAAGGTTAACAATAATGATGATGATAATAATAATCATAATACAATACCAAAATCTCAGATTTGAGATTGACCTCAGAGTCTGTTCCTTACCCAAAGCATAAATTCCATTTATAATATCCATGATTACTTGCATCCAACCTCCATCTAAAAATTTCCTGAGACGGGGAACCTAACACCTCCATCTTTGTACAGCTTTATTAGGAAGATTTCCCTAACTGAAATTTGCTTTCCTCAGGTTTCCACTCTTTGGTTCTAGTTCTGCCAAGCAGAATGTCTATTCCTTCTTCCACAAATATCTGAAGACTATTATGTTTCCCCTAAGTTTTCATTCCTCTCTAAGATGCACTCTTGATGCTTCTAGACTTTCTCTACAATGCCGGAGAAACCCTTTCACCTTGGAAGCTCTTTACCTCTGGACTTCTCACCTTGGAAGTACTCTCTGCCTCCTATAACCTCTGTTTTAGGGAGGAGGTCCAATCCAGCCATGTTTTCATTCCTCTTTAGGCTTCACTCTTGACTCTTCTAGACTTTTGCTACCATTCCCTGCTCCCCTTACCTGCTACACACACGCACGCATGCACGCACACACTAAGTGCCTTCATTTCCTTCCCCTTCCCCACTTTTCAGCTTCCTTTTATGTGTTCTCTTCCCTCAATAGGATGTAAGCTCCTTGAGGGCAGGAAGTGTCTTTCTGCTTGAATTTGTAGTTTCACACTTAGCACAGTGTCTGGCACATAGTAAACAATAAATGCTTGTTGACTTGACAACAAGTTTTCTGTTTTTCAGGCCAAATATTACCCTATTCTCCCATTGATCCTTATGTCTCCTAGTTTTGAATATACCTCAATATCCTGTTTACCCTCCCTTAAATATAGCCCAGGTCATCAACGTTCCTACTAAAAGGTGGTATCCAGAACTGAACACAATATGCCAGATGTGGTCTGACCAGGGAAAGGTTCATTTGGACACCATCCTTTAATCAATTAATTCAGGCTAAGGATTCAATTCTAAAGGCAGTATGGTTTATTAGACACTGGCCTTAGAGTCAGAAACACCTGGATTCAAGGTCTGCCTCTGACACATACTGTCTATATAATATTAGGAACATCATTTAGCCTCTCTCAGCCTCAATTTCCCCATCTGTAAAATAGGGATAATAATAGCACCTACCTCATAGAATTATTGGAGGAACTAAGGAGATAACATAGGTTGCAATTCTTAAATAACTATAGAATAACTAAATATTATATTACTATTAATATTGTTGATACTTATATTCTATAATTATTATTATTGTTATAAGCTGCAAAACAAGCACTGATCTTCATTAGTGAGAGAATTTCCTCACCAGGATATGTCTACACTAATTAAATTATAGTTCTGTACAAAAAAAGATGGGGGAGGGATCAATTCAATTCAATAAACATTTATTGAAAAGCTCTTATGTGCCTGTATTGTGTTAGACAATTGGGATCACAAAATCAAAAAATGGACCACCACCCCCCTCTGCCCCCAGGGAGTTTAGATTCTACCACTGGAAAACAACATGTACACAGATAAATATGTACACAATGCAGACACAGTAAAAACAAAGTAATTTAAAGGCACAAACACCTAGGATCATCAGGAAAAGAAGATTTTTTTTGGCTGCCACATTACATAAGTCTCTTGCACATGATTTGTTTTCTAGCCTTCCTTCCCCATTTTTTATTTAGGCAGTTAAATTTTACATTTATATTGCTTAGATTACACTATTATTTCTACAAAGCATATGTTCTCATTAGATCCTATGAACCCTGTGAGGTGACTAGGGCAAATATTATTATCTCCATTAGAGAAATTGAGGCCCAGAAAGGCTAATTGACAGCCAAGGTCATACAGCTAGTAAGTACTGAAGCCACAACTTGAACCCTGTACTCCTGAATTCAAATCAAGAGAGCTCTTTCTATTATATCAAAGCTTTCTGTGCTGTACTTCAGTCTACATGTATATGGAAACATATTGTGCACACATACCCACACACACACACACACACAAACACTTTAAACCACTTTGTCCTTAGTCCCTTTTTTTTTTTTTTTTTTCTTGCAATTGTGTATACATACACACACAAACACATGTGTCCATTTCACAGACCCCATTGC